AGTGCGATAACTTCTTAACATAAAATATGACAAAATAATGTGCAATTACTTTATGCGAAACCAACAACAGGAACTGTACAGCTGGTCAGATGAGCTTCAGAGCTGCATTACTTCACCAGGATCATCCTTGCTTACTTCCACCGGGGTCTGTGGGGGAAAAAAAAGTGTGTCGTGTGGGTCTAGTGGTTGCTAGTGTGGGGCTGAGGCATTTGGCCTCCAAGCCAAGGACAGCAGGGGAGGCCACCTCCAATTCTGTCTCACCTCTGAGAGGTGCTGATCCTGGCTGCAAGGGGACCTCAGCATTGGGGAGTGACAAGAGGCAGAGAAAAGACAGAAGTTCCAAGGTCTAACAGGAGGAGAGAGGAGGGAGACATCTGCCACCAGAACCCTTTTACAAACTAGTGGTTACTTGTGGGAGAGCGAAGTTTGGATTTCTGATGTGGACTGATCCCTAGGAAATGGCATCAAAGACTGGGCATAGAAAACATCCATAAGGACAACAGAGACAAAGTTTCCCAACTTGACTCTGGGCCTTAAAGATCATGTGAAAGAAAATGGGAACTCTCCCAACTCCGACTGTGAATAATAATACAAGTAGAAGCTACAGTAACGTAAAAAAAATAAAAGTATTTGTCTCTAATATTACTAAAGTTGGATTTTCATGCTTAGTTTGTTTCTGGGGATGGGAATACATTTCAAAGTAGGAATAGAGAACAAGGTTGAAAGTACACTTACCCCTCCTGGGGGGTATTTATATCCCTTCCACATGGTTCCTGCAATGAGAAGCATCCATAAAACAACTATCATCGTGAGGCTTCTTAGCTGGTGGTGTGCCCAAGAAGAAACAAGTACTTCTGGAAGGTACAGTGTTCTATTCCCTGAGTCTTAGGAATTGGGCTGTCTTTCTTAGACACCAGATGGTGGTTGGCCCAGCATGGCAGCTCCTCACTAAGGAGCTTTGTGGCCTAGTCTGAACTGAAGTGGTTCCTCATGGCCATTTAGCAGGGCAGAGCTCAGACACCAATTATGACATCAGCTCCTGTGACCTTGGCAACCCAGTCAGCATGAACAGCTATGGGTTGGTTGGCCAGGATGCCAGGTGCATTGGGCTAAAGAATATTTATCAAAAGGGCCCTGTGCTCTGGTGTATCTGTGATTTGGACCTAGCTGGCATCACACTCATTAACTCGTTACCTGCCAATATGTTTAACTATTGGCTTTGTGCAATCAGATGCTATGCAAAAGTAAAAAAGCCTGGATTCATTAAGAGAATTAGCTGGCTAGGTATGCCATGAGCAATTAACTTCACATGCTATTGTTAGGCTGTTTAAAAAAGAAATCTTGCATTTTATAAAATGGCAGTTAAAACTCTTATCATGTAGGGAGAGCCTATTTACAACTTTCCTGAGAAGGGAAGAGAAGGAAAATGGGCTTGTCTGTTTTACTCATTTTGCAGCTGGAGAAACTGAGGCACAGAATAGTTTAAGTGGTCTGGTCAGGACTGCCACCAAGTTCTGACTGCTTTGGGCTAATGTGTTCACAGAAATCCTGGGGTAGATGGAGGCTTTTTTTAAAAACCCAACCATCATGTCCCGCTCTTAGTATACCTGGGGCTGGGGCTGGAGCTGGGGCTGGGGCTGGGGCTGAACACCCCTAACTTCTGGAGTAGTTTCCAAAAAACCTTCTGCTCCTGTAATCAGTATATTATTAATACTCTCCTGGATGGGAGTGGTGGCTCACACCTGTAATCCAGCACTTTGGGAGGCCGAGGCAGGTGTATCACAAGGGCAGGAGTTCAGGAGCAGCCTGACCAACATGGTGAAACCCCATCTCTAGTAAAAATACAAAAAAAAATTAGCCGAGTATGGTGGCACACACCCATAATGCCAGCTACTCAGGAGGCTGAGGCAGGAGAATCGCTTGAACCCTGGAGGCGGAGGTTGCAGTGAGCCAAGATCGTGCCACTACACTCCAGCCTGGGCAATGGACCAAGACTGTCTCAAAAAAACAAAACAAACAAACAAACAAAATCTCTCTGAGTTAAGTTTCTCTAACAATAGGAACAGCTCTACAAAACAGGTCTGAATGAAATGGGGTGAAATGTAAGAAACCCAGGAGACGGTCTGCTAAAAGGGGTAATTCCATTGGTGTTTCCTGTAGGCAGGCTGGTCCAGTGGAATGAGTATGAGAGGCTACTAAGTCCAGAGTCCAGAAGGTGGGATGTGAAGGTGTGCTTGCATCCCATCTTCACCAGCGAGCTAGCTTGTGTGGCCTTGGGTAAATAGTGGAGGTCACTGTCCCCAGTAAATCTTTGTTGACTGGCTCATTATTTGTTTGTTGTTAAGTTAGTATTTTACTAAATGCTAATTTTTGAGCTTTGCATTAAATGCTTTACATTAATTTTCAAATATAATCTTCACAAAAATAGTAAGATACTCAGATTATCTCGTTATACAGAAGAAATTTTGAAACTGAGGTTTCAAATAAATTAAACTTTCCCAAGGTCACATAGCTAGTACGTTGCAAAGTTAGGACTTAAACTCAAGTTCAGTGTTAACTCCAGTTTCAGGATCTGCCAAAGGGATATTAAAAATGCTGGTCCTGGCAAGGCATGGTGGCTCATGCCTATAATCCCAGCACTCTGGGAGACCGAGGTGGGAGGACCCCTTGAGTCCTGGAGTTCAAGACTAGCCTGAGCAACAAAGTGAGAACCTGTCTCCACAAAAAAAATTTTTTTAAATTAGCCAGGCTTGGTGGCATGTGCCTGAGTACCAGCTACTCAGGAAGCTGAGGTGGGAGGACTGATTGCACCTCACCAGCCTGGGAGACACAGCAAGACCTGTCTCAGAAAAAAAAAAAAAAAAGAATGCGATTAATAGTATATTACAGTGTTGTGAGGAGAAAAAATAATAGATGGCAACAGACTTCAAAAACAACACCTATGAGACATGGTTATTAACAGAAAACTTTGGCCTGCTGTCCTCAGCAGTACTCACCAAATCATTTCTCTTTCCACAGTTTATTATATTTTCCAGAGGAATAAACACTCATCACTGATATTTCAGGGTACTACCAAGTATTCTGGAAAGGGAGGAATCCAGCCCACCAGACCTGACCACCCACTTACTTGCAGCAGATTTTCACCTAAAGCCTGCCTCCTCAGCTGTGTCTTGCTCTCCTGAACAGGCCACCTCTCCTTCCACTTCAGAGTTGGAGGCTGAATCAGAAAGAAAATTCGAGGACAGAGATGGCTCTACTCATTAGCCCAGTAGGTAACCACCTCTCTGTGGTGACTAGAAGGGCTGCTAAAAGGTTCCACCAATCCCTACTGTTCCCCTTTCTACCAACAACCACTGAGCCACTTGCTCTGAAATCCACAAGTCAAATATAGTCTCCAACAGACCCCTTGCAAATTCCACAGTGCCTTGAAACAAGTGCAGCTATATATGCAAGATAGTGGGGAAAAAGACATAAAACGATATCTCCAGTGGGATGGGAAATGCCTGGGAAACTAACTTTGTTCCCATCACATTCTGACTTCCAGTTAGTGGTGAGAACTCAACTATCTTTTCCATTTGGTCAGAAAACCAAGAAAGGACGATGAGCCAGCACCAGGACTGACCACTAGGGATTTACAGGCTGAGCCGTCACTTACCATTAATTCTGGAAACGTGCCCATGTAACATGCAAGTCCAACAAAAAGCATCCAGCCAAGCACAATCATGATCAAAAGGAAAACAATTTCTAAGATACAACTGCACAGTGAAAGACTATTCACCAAGATCTTGGCAAAGGAGTGTGTTCATGAAACCTTCAGTTGGTAGAGGTCTCGCATGTCTGTTCGAGTCCTTGGCTCCAAAGGATCTACAACTCCCTAGTGGAGAAGCTGAAGTCTAGTAGGGCATTGTGACATCACTTGTCATATGGACCAGACTCAAAACACACCAGAGACACTGCCTCCAGACCAGTAGCTGAGCAGCAACACTCTGAAGTAAGTATTATTGTTAACCCCATTTCACTAATGAGAAAACTGAGGCTTACACCAGAGCCTAAGTGATGTGCACTATGGCACAGAGCTGATGCTCCAGATCAGGGCAAGACTTAGGACTCTAACTGGGCTCTTTACACTAGAGGCAGAGACTTGGAAAAGTGTTTTACTGCTAGGTCTATGACACGTGAATGAAACAAATTGAATTATAAGCAAATGAGACAGATGTCCCTATTTCTGTCCCTGCAAAACCTCCCCTCCCCATCTCAAGGGCATCCTCAGCATGATGGTATACCCACATCTTCAACACCTTGGGTTAGTTCCTTCCATTGGTTCTCTTTTCTTGGCCATCATGAAGCCACATGTATCCCTGTCCTTTCCTCAAAAAAGTCCTCCAACTGATACTGTGGCTCCTTCCCAGTCTTATTTCTTAATTTCCTTTTATGACCAAACTTCCTAAACAAGTGGTCCACATTTAAAGCTTCTTTCCATCTACATCCCTCTTCCACGCATTATATTCTGACTCCTAGCCCCGCCCACTATTAGATACTTTCTCAGAGGTCACCAAAGATCTTTTTTGCTTTTCTGTTATAATATCATGGACATTTAATGTATTTTTCATCCCTAGAATTTTTTTTTTTTTGAGATGGAGTCTTGCTCTGTTGCCCAGGCTAGAGTGCAATGGTGCAATTTTGGCTCACTACAACCTCCGCCTCCTGAGTTCAAGTGATTCTCCTGCCTCAGCCTCCCAAGTAGCTGGAATTACAGGCGCCCACCACCACACCTGGCTAATTTTTGTATTTTTAGTAGAGATGGGGTTTCACTATGTTGGCCAGGCTGGTCTCAAACTCCTGGCATCAGGTGATCCACCAGCCTCAGCCTCCCAAAGTGCTGGGATTACAGGTGTGAGCCACCATGCCTGGCCTGTTGTTATATTTCCTGCTTCTTTAAATGCCTTAGAACTTTTGATTAGATGTTGAACATGGTAAATTTTACCGCGTTGAGTGCTGGATTTTGTTGTATTCAACAGTGCTAAATTTTATTCTAAGGTAGACTTAAGTTACTTGTGATCAGTTTGATTCTTCTGAGGCTTACTTTAAGCTTTATGATAGGCCAGGAACAGCCTTTACTCTAGGGTTAATATCCCCACTGCTGAGCTATGACTACTTTCTCTGAGCACCTTCTCTGAGGCCAATTGTATTAGATCTTATTTTTTTGAGATGGAGTTTTGCTCTTGTTGCCCAGGCTGGAGTGCAATGGTATAATCTTGGCTCACTGCAACCTCCGCCTCCCGTGTTTAAGTGATTCTCCTGCCTCAGCCTCCCAAGTAGCTGAGATTACAGGCATGCTCCACCATGCCTGGCTAATTTTGTATTTTTAGTAGAGACAGGGTTTCTCCATGTTGGTCGGGATGGTCTCGGACCCCCAACCTTAGGTGTTCTGCCCGCCTTGGCCTCCCAAAGGGTTGGGATTACAGGCATGAGCTACTGCACCTAGCCTAGATCTTTCAAATCTGTGGAATGTTCCACAATTCCCTTCCCTTAAGGAACTCCAAGAAGTGTTCAGCCTACTGCTTTTGGGTGGATCTTTTCCAGGCCTCACAGAGTTTTCTGTGTTTTTTCTTTTGAGAGAATCTCACTCTGTTGCCCAGGCTGGAGTGCAGTGGCACAATCTTGGCTCACTGCAACCTCTGCCTCACAGGTTCAAGGGATTCTCCTGCTTCAGCCCCCCAGTAGCTGGGATTACAGGCATGAGCCACAATGCCCAGTCTATTTTTGTATTTTTAGTAGAAACAGGGTTTCGCCATATTGGCCAGGCTGGTCTCAAACTCCTGACCTCAGGTAATCCACCTGCCTCAGCCTCCCAAAGTGCTGGGATTACAGGCATGAGCCATCACACCTGGAAGAGTTTTATCCCTTATATGTGCAGATGGAACTCAGCCAAAGACTCATAAGGGCCCCCATAGAAACCTACAGAGCTTTCTCCACGGAGCTTCGTCTTCTTAGTACTCCATCCTGCAAATTCTTGACGCTGGCCTCTGCTGTACTTTGCCATCTTTCTCTTTAACTCTGAAACTCTGTTGGGTAATCCCTCTCTGTGTGACAGTCTGGAAACTGCCTCCTGGCTTGAGCAACTGTAGGACTCACCTTCATTGGTTTCCTTTCTCTCAAAGTACATAATCTTGTTCTGTCTCTTGTATAATACCTGAAAACAATGATTTCATGTTTTGTGCAATTTTCTATTTATGAAGAGAAGTAATTTCTGTAGCAGTTGATCCTTCATAAGCAGAAGTGACTGTTCTTTTTGGAGACAGTCTCACTCTGTTGTCAAGGCTGGAGTGCACTGGCACAGTCAGATCACTGCAGCCTTGAACTCCTGGGCTCAAGCGATCCTTTCACCTCAGCCTCCCAAGTAGCTGGGTCTACAGGTGTAGACCCAGGCACCACCGTGCCTGGCTAATTTTTATTTTTATTTTGTAAAGGCAGGGTCTTGCCATGTTGACCAGGCAGGTCTCGAACTCCTGGGCTCAAATGAGCCTTTTGCCTCAGCCTCCCAAAATGCTGAGATTACAGGCGTGAGCCACTGTGCCTAGTCTAAGTTATTCTTTTTAATTTTTGCACAATATTCTAGTTTATTTCATCTTGTTCCCAATGATACGGTAGGTCAGGTCCAGTCAGGAGACAGAAAACACAGTAATTTGAAAACTTTAATAAAGAGAATTATCAACTAGGAGCAAGCGATTGACTATAGAAGGGGTAGGAAGTGTTACATATAATAATCTATGATAAAGCCGGGCGCGGTGGCTCAAGCCTGTAATCCCAGCACTGTGGGAGGCCGAGGCGGGTGGATCACGAGGTCAAGAGATCGAGACCATCCTGGTCAACATGGTGAAACCCTGTCTCTA